TGTTTCTTTGAACCTGTTGCCTAGTTGGTCTTGGTGTCAGCTTCTCTCTCTATTCTATCTATCTTGTTCTTCTCTTTTTGTATTTCTTCCTCACTCATGTTTGTTATATACTTAATTAATGCTGTGTTGTTTCTTGTGATTTTGGCTTTCTCAGCCTATTCTTTGATTGTGTTTTCTTGAAAGTAGAGATCTGCTTTTCTCAGAGCATCTCTTATTTAACTATACAATAGTAGCTCATATACTGTTATACAATCTGGGTTTCTTATTACTAGATCCTTGGCTAAGTTGTCAATATCATTTGGTTCTATTAATGTATAAGTTTGTAGAACTTCTTTTAACTTTTGGTCATTTATATACCTGAGAACTTTTTCACTTGCCCTATGTATATATACCATTAAACCTGTCCAAACTAGTTTTGTTGATTTAATCTCTATTTTTGCTAGAACTTTTTAAATTTCTTTGTTGTTTCTTGTAAATCTATGTGTTAAAATTGCTGTTTGTTGTTGCCGAATAACAATATTTTCCAAAATAAAAAATAATTACTTGTTTGTTTACTATTGTTATTTTCTATTGTAGAATGTGATTGTTTTGTTTATTTGTTTGTTGTTTAGTGATCTCCTGTCACACGTTTATATTGTTGAATTTACAGGGTCTAAAACAAAAATCCAAAAGCTCTGATTTTTTGTAAAAATTTTTCAAAAAGTGATATATTTCTTTGAGTTTAATTATCTTGGAGTTCTTGTATTAAAAGACTTTAGATAATTTTCTGTACTGAATCTTTTTCCTTAATATCAAAAGAATTGTTTTCTATGTTGTTTGTTGAGAAATCTTTTGTTTTTGCTTTATCGATTTTTGGAATTAATGATCAATGGAGAGAGTTGATTGTTCATATTTTGAAATGTAAATATATTAAATATAATAAAATTTAAATTTTAAAGTAATCTATATAAATGAAATATATATAAAGAGGTTGATTTTTTTTTAATCAGTAGAAAAACAAAAATAAGTGATTATTAATTTTATTATATATCTGCTATAACATATCATTGTTTACTATATAAAAAAAAATTTAAATGTATTAAAACTAAAAATAAAAAGATATACAGTCTCGTGAAGACGAGTTTAAAAAAACTAGTACCCCAATTTGTAAATTATATCAAGTTCAATATTGGCGCTATTCAGTTGATACTTGTACAAATTGCTATTTAATAAATAAATGTAATGATATTGTATATGATTATTGTAAAGCAAATAATATTAAATATAAGTAAGTAGTTCTCACTATACAAGAAGCTTATAATAAAATTAAAAATGATGTATTTTATATTGGTTAAAAATTTGAGCCAACTGATAAAGAACAATTATATGCACAAATATATATACAATTTTATTCAAATAAATGACAAACTCTTAAAAGTGCTAAAGAAATATTTAAAGAAGATAATTCTTTAATATTTCAAAAAAAATTAAAAGACACTTTAACTCAAAATAGAGCATATATGTTAAAACCTTATGATTATTGTAAGAAGCATCCAGATTGTTATTGTGATTTCTTTGATATTAATCATCAATGCAATAAATGTGATTTAACTTGTGAAAGAAAAATTGCAACTTGGGGCAGAGGCACTTTACCCAAAAAAATCATTGGTCCATTTGAATTTGGCAAATTTAGAGAAATTGAAAAGAAATATACTAAAAAGAGAAAATTAGATATAAATGAATTAAAAGCTAATGAATATTTAGGTAGAATAGATAGTAATAAAATGTTGTTAAATAATAAATCTTCTCTTGAAATTTTTAAAGAAAATAAAAACAAAATACTATATTGTAAGAATTATGAAATGATTACAAGAATTTATCAAGATTTACAAAAAGAAAAAAAAAAAAAATCGATTTTATTAACCTTTAACTTTTTATTTTTATGGACCTACAGGTTCAGAAAAATTTGGTTTAGTTACTGAATTATTTTTTAGAGATAAAAGAGAACTATATGCTAATAAACTAACAAAACAATGAAATAATTGGTGGAATAGATATGAAGATCAACAAGTAGTTCTTCTTGATGAGTTTTATACGAAAATTAATTAGAGTGATATAATAAATATGTTGAATAATACACCATATGATGTAAAAATAAAACAAAGGTTTTGAATCTTTTTTATCAAAAAAAATATTTTTAACAACTAAAAAGCCATCTCAAGATGCATATAATTTTGGGCAATATGAAGAAAAGTTTAATTAACATGATTGGCCACAGTTTGAAAGATGTTTAGATTATATTATTAAGTTTACTAGTAGTTGGAATGAAGATATAGAAAAAAAAACAACACAAATTATATTTCATAAAGGTTTTGAAGAAAAATTCAGAAATATGTGTTGGGAAATTAAATATCAAAATGGTGAAAATTTACTTGAAAAAATAATTGAAAGAAGTAAAAAATTAAATAATAATCAAGATAAATATAGAATTGATGATAAAAAGATTTATTGGCAACAGAATTTTTCTGAATTTAAAAAGCGATATCTTCGAGATTAGGGACATGACAAAAATCAGGTGATTTTTTAGGAGAAAGGGAGTAAAAAATTAAAATTATATTTTTTTTATATTAAGAGGGGAGGGGTAAGTCTCTGATAAAAAATAATCAAATGATAAATTACACTGCCCTTATCCAAAATGCAAAGAGCTTTTTGAATATAGACAAGAAATTAAGCAAGAATTACAATTAATTAATAATAATTCACTTGATAATAATTTAATTAATGAAGAAAATGAATTTGATAATAGATTATCAGATTATGAAAGATCAAATTCAGTAGCAGAATCATCAAAACAAAGAAAAATAAATTAAAAAATTAGTTAATTTTTTTTATTTTTGTTTTAATATAAATAAATATATAAAACTTTATTAAATAAATATAAATACAACAATATAACTAATCAAAAATCAAGATAACTAATTTCATTAAATTTTTTGTTGTTTTTATAATTATAATCATTAGTTGAATAATTATCAATTTTTTTAATAAAATAATTATAATTATTAATAATAAATTCATCTTTTTCTTTTTCTTTTTTTAATAATTATTATTAATTTCTTTTTCAGAACAATATTAAATTTTAATTCGAATAATTTATGTTTGTATAATTTATAATTTAATATAATATATTTATTTATATATCAAAATATTTAAAAGCAAAATAAAAATAATCAAACTAATTTTTTAATTCAATTTTCTTCGTTTACTATTTGATGATTCTGCTCTTTTATAATCTGATAATCTATCATCAGATTCATTTTCTTCTTTATTAATATTAATAATTGTTTTTTAATTATTATCTTGATTATTTTTTAAATTCATATATTTAAATATTTTCTGGCTTTTAGGATATTCTTGTAAATATT